AGCCATTAGCCAAATTATGAAGTGTGATAATTGCCTATTCCAACGTAGCCAAGATCAACATTCAAGATAATATACGGCTCACCACGCTCCAACTATGTCAGCAAGTAGCTTGAATTCACATTCAGAGGTGGAAGACATACAAATTGACAAAGTATGTGTCAAATCCCTAACTCTAGAAGAAAAAAAGTGGCATATGGAAGAAGGACTATGCTTGTATTTTGGTGAAGAACGCCACAGAGCTGAAAACTATCCCAAGAAGCAAAATCGACGTATTGTTAAGACTAGAGGCACATTTGTTCATGAAAACGAGGATGCCCAGCCACAATAGGGACCATGCAATTAGGCAATGCAATACCACAACAACAATCAAGTTCCTCTCTTTCTGCTAAGCCTGTCCATTGCTTTATCATTCCTCTATCTTTTGGCATTCGGAAACTAAAAAACCTTAGCGTTATTAGATTTACAAGCATCTGCTTGCTTTTTAGACAAAGAATTTGCTAAGCATCACAAGATTCTTCTAGTACAAAAATCTAAATCCGTTCACGTGGAAGTAATAGATGGACGACCTTTATTGTTTGGTAGTATCACCCATGAATCAGAACCTATAGAAGTGACGTTTGAAGATCATAGTAGTTATATTATTTTCAATATTATTAGAACTCCATCAAACCCTATTATTCTTGGTCTTTCTTGGTTAGAAATGCATAACCCATCGATAGATTGGAGGTTACGAAAGATGACATTTCCTATAGAACATCCCGGAAGTAAGCTTGTTAGAAGATCTCGAATCAAAAAACCCTTATTTATTGGAGCAAGAGCATTTGTAACATCATCTAAGGAAGGCACACCGTTTATCATTTATGCAACTTCAACTAGCAGAGAGAAGATTTAGATAGCAAGTATATCAGAGCAATATAAAGATTTTGAAGACGTGTTTCAAAAGAAAAATGCCGACATGCTACTGGAGCATCTACCATACGATTGTGCCATAGACTTACAGAAAGGAGCACAACCACCTTTTGGCCCAATCTACAATTTGTCGGAGATGGAGTTAGTGGAGTTGTGAAAGTACATTGATGAGAATCTAGCCAAGAACTTCATTTTTTATTCAAAGTTGCCAGTTGGGGCACCAATCTTATTTGTGAAGAAAAGATGGCTCGATGTGGATGTGCATGGATTATCGAGGTCTCAACAAGGTGACAAAGAAGAATCGTTATCCATTATCCTTGATATCAAGTCTTCTAGAACAACTTGGACGTGCAAGGATCTTTACCAAGTTTGATCTAAGGGGAGCTTACAACCTCGTACAAATCAAAGAAAGAGACGAATAGAAGATAGCTTTCTATATAAGGTATAGCCATTTTGAATATAATGTCATGCCTTTCGGTCTTACAAATGCTCCAACAATCTTTCAACACATGATCAATGACATCTTTTGGGAGCACCTTGACGATTTTGTTGTCATCTATTTAGACGATATTTTGATATTTTTCAAAAACATAGAAGAGCATGAGAAATACATTCGTCTCGTCCTTGAAAAACTCCGTGAGGACTTTATGCCAAATTGGAAAAGTGCTTATTTAATCAAACTGAGATAGAGTTTTTGGAATTCATTGCAACTACAAAAGATTTAAAGATGGACCCTAAGAAGGTGGAAGCAATTGTATCATGGAAAGTCCCAAAGACAATTAGAGATGTACAATGTCTTTTTGGCTTTGCTAACTTCTATCAAATCTTCATCAAGAATTACTCTCAAATTGCTGCTCCGCTCACTTGGTTGACATATAAAGACAAGCTCGAATGGGGGCCTCTAGCAGAAAAAGTATTTCAAGATCTTAAGACAACATTTATTATGGCTTCAATCTTGGTACATCTTGATTTTATAAAGGCCTTCTATTTGGAGACCAATGAACTACTTGCTATGCGAACAATAATTGGAATATATTGTAGACACTATGCGACAAATTTTTAACTTCTTATATTGGTACTGACTCGCAATAGGAGTGCTTCTCAGAGACCTCGAAGCTAAAGGGAGAGGTGATGTCAAGGACATACACTAAGAAGTTATAGAAGATTCTAAAAGATTCTAGAGAAGCCTTGTAGTTTGTGAAAGCTATTTGAAAAGATTCCTAACTCGTAGAAGCTGCTTAAGAAGCTTTCTAGTTTGTGGAAGCTGCTTGACAAGCTTCCTAGTTTACCAAAGCTACTTGAGAAGCCTCCTAGCTGGTAGTATATATAGGAGCTAAGATTGAGGGGATCCTCAGTCTTGACAACACATCTCTTGGAGTTATAGTTCACGTTTCTAGTGTTGTTCTTGTATTCATTTGATTAATCTAGTTCTTGTCAATTCTTCTTGAGAATTTCCGGCCAGTATTCTAAATTCGTGACAACTGTAGCAAAAAAATAATCAACATTAGGTAGTTTAATTGCAATGCTTTACAGAATGGGGGTTGTAAAAATCTAAGCAAGTTGTTTGAGCAAGTTTTCAATATATGAGAGAGGTGCTATGAGGTGAAGATGATGCACTAGCTTTGTGCTTTGACTAATAGAGCTTCTCCACATAGTTTTCATATTCTAAATCTATTATTCTTTTGGAACATATTAATGCTGCTACATCGAGCCATCAATATGTATCAAAACTCACTTAAGCATAATGTGATTATATAAGATCTCTATTGCATATATACTAGTTCTATAGTAGTAGTGGTTTATTATATAATAAGTTATGAATAACACATAATTGGAAACAAACAAAATGACATGATCATAGTCAAAATAAAATATAATACAACTTATTTTTGCTAAAGGGTTGAAAAACATTGAGTTTATGGTGAGCTTGCTACAAACATGGAACTTGGCTATAATCTATCAAACTTTAGCAATACTATATGTGGTTTGTAATTAAAAATCAAGTAGATCACATTACTAAATTATAAATAAACACATAGTATTACAAAGTAAGGATGTACCAAAGAAGTTAAGAAAAAGAAGAGTTGCAAGTGAATACCTAGTACTATATAATAAAGATGCACCAAAGTAGTTGAGAAAAAGAAGAGTTGTAAGTGAGCATGTAATATTATATAACAAGAATGCACCAAAGATGTCAAAAAGAAAGAGAGGTGTTGATTATTGTGGAGGACAAAAAGAAGCTAAATATATAGGAGAAAGAAACCTCTCACCTCCCATTTTGTCTCAACTCCTTGGTTAATAGTCAAAGCCAATTACTTCTAATTTGATCCAACAACACAAGATGTACACTACTTGATTATGTTTTTGCAACCAACTACTTTTATTCAAGCAATAGTCACAAGCTTGCTATTAGAGTATGCAATTCTCATAATCTAGAAAAATACTCATAATCCTTATTTAAGTATTGGTGCTAATTACTAGCTTGTGCATAAATCTAATTTTTTGGAACTTTTTTCAAACTTCTTATCTTCTAACTTCATAATACTTAAGTCTCGAGTTGATAAGAATTGAAAAGAATAAGTTTATTGTTTAAAGAAACAGATCACATATCTTTAAGCATTTAATTCAACTTATGAAAGAATAATATTCAACCGTTTAACTAATGCATTGGTAAAGAAATCAAATATTTGACTTGAATAGAATTGATAGAAATGAATACCGGTACTATAAAAGATATGTCTCTAACATGTGTCAATATTACTTAGATACTTGTACTTTATAATTAGAATATAAATGCTCAAACTATGCATCTTCAAGTAGATGATTTCACAATGCAATAGTTTATCAACACAACAACTGAAAAAAAACAAACTTCAAATAAAACAAATTGAAAAGAACAAACAAGTATATCAAATATGAGCCAATACAATAAGTCATAGCATCAATATTTGAAAACAAAGCTAATGTAATTCTAATGAATTGGATAAAGACTCAACACATGGCAAGTAAAATCACTATTCCAAACATCTCTATGCACTCTAAATTTGATATTATCTAGAAAAAAAACATAATTGCTCTAAATTTTTTAAAAAGCCAATGCCATGGCCCATCTCATTAGTGTCTATACCCTTCATCTTCTTATCAATTCCAGTCACTTAGAACTTTTTATTTCTATTTTGAAGGATGTCTATACTCCTTATACTTTTAGATGTTTTTATATTTACATTATTTTCCACTTGTGTCAACATTTATATGTTCCATCAAATTGGTATAGAATTCATCTCTAACAAATTAAGATTCAAAAATCCTCTATTTGGCTATATACCTATACTATCTAGAAATATTGTGCCCAGTATGAAGACTTGATGATAATAATAAATGGTAACATTTCAATGAAGAGGAGGCAATCTACAAAGTAGATGCTTTTTGCATGTTATCAACTATCTGATTTTAGCATTATTTGTACAATGATGCATCCTATTCTAGTAACACATGGTGGAAAGACCAAAGCTATGCCTCTAAGGTCAATATAAATAAGATAGATATAATGGGCAATATTGATCAAGGATAAATTTGGAATACCAATGGCAACAACATCAGCATCTACTTTTTGGGGTACTAAAATTGTACTCAAAAGTGATGCCAAAAACTCCACAACATGAAGTTTGGGCCTTGGATTCACCTAAAATAGGACTGTACTTATATCTTATCAAGTTCAAAGGTATGTTTGTAATTATCACAAAAATGAAGGATAGATTTGCAATTATCAAGATATGAAAGGTATTCTTGATATTTCAATATATTTCAATGGTATATATGATATTTTTTCTCATAAATTCTAGAATAACTATGAGATTTTCAACCAAATCAACAAATCTGCTGAAAAAAGAATAATCAAATAAACAATTGCCATTGTCTTAAACAAACCCAATGAAAAATATTATAGAATAAAAAAAATTACATATAAAATGTTATCTATGGCAGTTTTAGATTTCCTATTGAGACTATAATTAAATGAAGATTCTCCTTTGAAACAAGATTTGAAGGAGTGGCTTTTCAACACCTCCTCCTACTACATAAAGAAAAATAAATGAAATTCAAATTCCTTTCTTTCTAAAAGTATAGTGATTTTAAAATGTTTCCGCACCAATCACTATGAGACTCATATTTGACCATTCCTTGAAAAAAATAATCTACGTCATTACATTTCAAATAAAGATACTCTAAACCCTTATTTATAATCAAAAAACTCATTGGTGAGTTTTCCAAAATATTGATTAAAAGCAATGACTAAGTACATATCAACTGCTTTGTGCAAGAGATAAGAGCTAGAGAATCTGGCTCCCTCACATGCAGGGACCTATCTTAAGGAGGAAGCCAAAAAAACATCAAAGGTTCCAAGGCATCCAACCACCATCATTCTCAAACACAATACAGTAGCGTGAACAATGGACAAATTTTCACACGCTTAGGTATTGACGAATCTAGGCTATCGGACCTGAGGACCCTTTCTGTAATGTTCGAAGTTCAAGGATACATCGTCCGAGTTTCCTTCCATATACGGCGCCGGAGTACTGCTCGTCCCAATGTTGTTGGACCGGTCCATCTCCGAGAGAGCTCCTGAATCGCCGTCCTCCAATACGATGGCTTCACGAAGCTCCTTCACCACGTCCCTCATCCACGGTCGGTGGATGCCTCGGGGCTCCACGCACTGGATGGCCAGTTCCGCCACTTTCCACACACTGTCCATGTTGGGGTGGCAATCTCTCACGGCGGGGTCTAGGATGCTTTCGATGTCGCCAGCTAGCAGCGAATTTCTCACCCATTCGACGATGTTCGACTGGCTCTTGTCTGGTAGACCGTTGTTGATTGGCTGACGACCGCAGAGGACCTCCAGCAGCACAACTCCAAAGCTGAACACGTCACTCCTCTCTGACAGATGGTTTGTGGACCAGAACCTGATGATCGTGATAACGAGTAGTGAGTGATTGCATTATAGAGTTCAGATTCTACTGGAGGACTGAACATCGGTCAAGGTTGGTGATTCAGCAGAGGATTGGTCACATGTAAGAAATGGCTTAGTGTTGAGAAGCGGCACAGAGCTTACTCTGGATCCAAGTAGCCGGCGGTCCCTTTCACCACAGTCGAGACGTGGGTGGCTCCAGATGATTCTTCCGGTCCTAACCTTGAAAGACCGAAGTCTGCCACTTTGGCAACGTATTTGTCAGTGAGTAGAATATTGCTACTCTTGATGTCGCGATGGATAATGATAGGGCTGCACCCCGTGTGTAGGTATTCCAGACCTGAATAAACAAGCACCAGAGGACTTTAGGAACCACTCGGGGTGGGCGACAGTGTAGGACCGTTCACGTGTTCAATCCTGCATAAGCCTACAGAACCTGTCAGAGGATCATGTACCTTGAGCAGCATTCAGAGAAACGTCCAAGCGTTGTTTCCAATCCAATGGCTCCTTCGTAGCCAGCGGAGACCCTGCATCGAACCATGACCAGGTGCGCCATAATACAGCGCATTCAGAGAAGGCAACAAGAAGTTTTCACGATAGATCACTTTGTCTGCTGTAGACCCTGTCTTGAATACCCAGCGCCCCACATTAACCTATCAAAGAAACCACAATACTAATCGAATTTTAAATGGCGATCTTGCACCTGGGGCTGCTCAATGAAAGGCTTACCCCAGAGATGCTCACGGACGGTGCCCTTGTGCAAATACTCATACACCAGCATCTGTTTTCCGTCTTCTTGACAATATCCAAGTAGTGAAACAAGGTTTCTGTGGTGTACCCTGGATAAGAGTTGCACCTGAGAGAAACTCACATATTTAGGACATGAATTCAACTTCGAAATAAGATTTCAGTTTCTTCTAAGTTGCACGGATTCTGCTAGGAAGGACACATTCCTGACAGATTACACAAGAAACAGTCGAGGATTCATATAAAGACAAGAACATGGCAACAGGAAAACTGCATATCCGAAAGAAACAAAAAACAAACAAAAAGAAAAAAACACAACCCTCACCTCATTGTTGAATTCAGCTGCCCCTTGACGAGAATTCATGTCAGAGACCTTGACAGCAACTTCTCTTCCATTGGCAAGCTTGCCGTAGTACACTGGACCGAATCCTCCCGCTCCAATCTGTGTACTGAAATTCGACGTGGCGGCTTTTATCTCTGCGTGCGAAAATGGCTTTGCGCCTTGCCCGTTTGTTCCACTCAAATCCGGAACGGCGAAGTTCGAAACACCTGAAAAGTCTCATCTTGTGCTTTAATAGAAGTATTTGAGATGCAAACCACCGAGATTCATTAAGATGACCTATTGTTGTCATGAGAAAAGACTGGAACAAGTTGGACATGAGCAAGTACATAAAAAATTAAAATAAAAATAAAAATTGTTGAATCAACATCAGTCGTGTGCTCGTCTCGATAACATACTTACCGCCCTTGCCCTTGCCCTTGCCCTTGCCTCCAGATTTATATGGATCAGAGTTTGATTTGGGCAACTTTTGTCCCATGCCCTCGGTAGTTTGACGCTTCCTGCAGAAACAGAAGAGCAAGATACCCCCTACAACGAGAACCCCAACCACTCCTCCAACAACTCCAGCAATGAGACCCACATTCGACTTAGATCCTGGACCAGGATTCGAGCAAGTAGGCCCACATACAGGGTTTCCGTTTATGCTGCATACATTGAAGAAGACAAACCGTCAACCACAGTCAAGTTCCTCAGCACTACAATCAACCAAAACCTAGAGAAATCATGCTAAACCGTGAGCTGCATTAAGATGTGCCTTTCAAAGCTTCTGATTTGTAACAAGGCTGGAGCTCTTACTTCAAGTTCAGCCCAGACTTGTTCTTCAAGGCGTCAGGGACTGTCCCGGTCAAGTTGTTATTCTGAAGAAATAACTCTTCCAGTGTTGGAATGAAGCTTAAGGAATCAGGAATGGAGCCACTCAAACCATTGTCGTTCAGGTGCCTACATAACAGGATTAAGTCATAATCGATTAGTGAACACCCAAACCGTATACCACACTACTTCTAAACCAGGCAAGCAGTTCACCTACGATTTCACGACGAAAGTTGTGCGGTTGCTCTTCACTTACAATGACTTCAGCTGTTGCAATTTCTGAAGATTGGGAATGTTGCCAACTAGCTTGTTATTATCCAACCATCTGCACAGTTGTATGGCCATCGTGAGATACCTTTGGTTCACAGAGTTTGGATTGGTAAATACAAAAAAAACGATCGAAAGCATTCGTTGCAGTTCTGGAGACTTACAAGGTTTGAAGGGCAGTTAACTCTGCAAATTCCACAGGTATGATGCCAGTGAGGTTGTATCTTGACAATCTCCTGTAAGAACACAACGCGAACATAAGTCCACTTCGTAAATTGCGACCTGACTCTCAGTGATCAAAACCAATGCACAGAAACTCAATTTATCCAGAAGGGCACCCTACGAAGAACATACACTGAAATTACTCTGGCAGCTTCTGTGGCCGTAACGGGGCTGCATAATACCCAGGAGAGTGGGACGGGAAGGCATGGATCTCCTCCCCAGCCTGTCAAACTAAGAGCCACTTTGATTTTCTCCAGTGCAGCAACTGCATTGACAGCAGCAGGAAGAAAATATAATCTAAGGTTTGAATCCACACGAAAGCCCAATGGGTCAAAAAAAGACGTTACTTTCACTGAGATTTTAGTTGGTCATGTGGAAAACATCACCCAGCAAAAGAAAAGAAAAAACCCAACTTAAATGAAGGCACGGCATAGTGAGTGATATAGGTGCTGACCGTCTAGCTCATTGGTCCCAGCGACTGCGTCTGGACGATTAAGGTAGATTTCGAGAGCATTCATCAGTGGAGGATTGATTGACCCGGGTGCTGGAGTCATGGTAACAACTGAATTAGACGTCATTGAAAATTTCGAATATCCCCACACCGACGAGCGGAAGGCCCCTTCCGTAGCGTTGTAAGGGTTGATAAGTGTGGGAGATGCTGGCTGAGAATCAAGGAGGAAGGACCTTGAAGTTGCGTTGGCTGAAGCGTCCAACTCAGCAAAGTAAAAATATAGAGTAGCTTCCATGGCACTGGCGTCGTTCGCGCCGGAATTAACTGGTAATACAACCGGAGAGAGTGTAGGAGAAGTAACGGCAGTTTGCATCACTTTAGATACAGGTTTTGCAAAGTAACCAGAATCAGTTACCGGCGTCAGTGTGGATATTGTTGTTAATGGCGAAGATTCGACCCAAGGTGCCCACAGACGATCGAGTACATCATCTGGATACCTCCATAAATTTCAAAACATTTCCCACACTTCTTAGTTTCATTCCCTAATAAACAAATCTACCCTTCCACGAATCAGATGAAACAACTGGAGCAGGGTTGGATTTCTAGAAACAACCTCTCATGATCGAATGCGAAAATGTAACAAATAGTAAGTTCGTCTGTACTTCTGTGATGAGCTTACCTTATCCAAACAGAACCGCCGTAATTGCGTCGTTGCCAAAGAATCATAAAATTCCCTTCAAGTGTGCGCGGATATGCATATGATCCATCTGGCACTTGACTGAATACCAAAGAAGATATGAAGGGTGTGCCCTTAGATGTAGAATCTTTAAACAAACAATATGAAATAGTCGTAGCACTCACTTTCGTTCGATAAACTACTTCAGCTTGTAGAGTCTGATCACCAAATTGGCTCATGTCTACGAAACCCAGGGTTGTTGAGTCTAAAGCGATGTTGAACTTTGGTGGAGTGTTCGTCTGATCATAGTTGCCGTACCAATAGGAGGATCGGATGATGTACGTAGAATTTGGCTTGATGGGTACTACGTAACAAAACTTTTCCCGTTTCTCCGGGAAATATCGTAGACTACCCAATTCACTGTATGATCCATCAGTTACTGGAACAGCCGCAACGGTCTGCCCTGCGGAAATGTACTCATCGTCAGGGGTCCATGAAATTGTTGTCACCGGGTCAGTGTACTTTCGAGCAGCACCACAGTCGATGCTTATCATATCAAGAACTTGCCCCCACGTTCCTTGCGCATTTAGGGCCAGCAATGCCAAAACTACTATGAACCCAAGATAACCCATCTTAATGAACTGCACCCTAGCCCTGCACTCACACAGTACAACGCAAATGCGTAGTGTGAGGATTTCACCAGGGGGTAGGAATGGTGCATGCAGTTGTGTTTAGATACGTTTCTCGACATTGGAAGTAGACAGAGCATGTAATGGTCGACAGCAACAGCCGTGTCCGTGCACGAAACACTTTCCACCATAGGACTTCTCCCTGCTTAAGACATCAAATCAAAATTCAAACTGGCAACGATATGGTACCTTATTAGCGCTGCAGCACCAGAAGAGCTTGTACAAGTTATTCTAAGCTCTTGAATTGATCTTCTCTCCGTCCAATCTTCCAACTTCTTGCTCATATGAATTACTGCAATTACACAACGAGATTTCGTCGCGAAATTATCAACTGTGCACCTTCGTAAATACTGAAGTCGACATTATGTAGAAATGAAGATTAAGTTCAGAGCTACGACTTAGAGACATGGGTTGACGTGCTTTCTAGCAAGATTTACAAATCAACTAGAAATTCAATTGTTTCCCACTCATAAAAAGAAAGTAACGAGGTCCTCCGACATTTGGCCACACCGAAATTCGGAATCTCAAAAAGCTTACATCACCACTACACATCGCGGTAAGAAAAAACGACCATACGTAGTTAAGCATTCATACATTTCGTTTTCCGATATTTCTGTGAACCTTCCGGCATATTCGGACAGTCAGTTCGTACAGCATCCGACGCTCTTGGCACGGAACTTTCCAGTGATGTGGCAAAGCAGTACCACTACTGCAATGGAAACCCCATCCGAAAACTACATAACTGTGCATTACTCCGTTTTCAAATTCAACAATGGAATGACTTCATGATGAAATGTTCAAGAACCCCGAGGGCCAAAATTCCACCATGGGCTTCAACACTGTCAGGTTTCTGTCATCCAGACAATTTTGCACATCATGTTAACCACCTTCCCCTGATTATATACTGAAGGTACATACTTGGAGCCCACACTGCAATCCGCGCACTACGTCTATTTCTTGTACTTAAAAGTCTTGATTGCCGTCACAAGTAGCAGTACCGACTCGACTCGCAAAAATATTCTCTAAACAACACCTCCAACTTCCAAGCTATATCTCTTGTCAGTCCTCATGAGGAATGTACCAGGTTCGACAACATTTTCCTGCTGCAGGCGTTGGAATCAGGCTCAACTTGTAAGCCGCAGGCATCGCACAGCACATATGACTACCAACGACAGACCTCCTGCAGGGACTCTTGACATACCGTCCGAAGATAAACACCGTTTGTTTATTTCAGCAGATCTCTCGAAGAGAAAGGAATCGTCCCACCTTCGAACAACAAAACTTCGCTTCAACAACTTCAACAAACTGACAGCCGCAGCCACAAGCAAGTTTTGCAAACCTTAGAGACTGCTCTCAATTGTTAGCATCGCTTTTGAGAGCTCACTAGAAACAGACTAAGGCATGTGTCGGTGATCCTTCTCTAGCGCCGTGCTCTGGAGTGCACTACAAAGCTCTACCAACTCGTTGCCCACAATCCACTTCGAACCATCACACTCTCTCCCACCAGAGACCATTCCCAGAAACCCAATGGAACCCATCTGATCGACCTGAACTGGTTAGGAGAGAAACCACACTCACCTGAGGCATTCTATCAACCAGAGTATGTTCCATTCCCACGCCCTAGAAGCCCCGTCTGCTGCTCCACCAACGACTTACTCCAACTAACAGCTATCGCACCTCACATACTGCTTGGCGTTATCACCGAAACCCCTCACTGCTAACTTCGAAAGAAGATAAGAAAGCACGCGCAACCACAGACAAACAAACAAACAACCTCCACAACTTCCTTCGCCCCTCCCACTTTCGGATCCTGTTGTGCAGTAAGAAGTCAACCACATTGAAAATTTGCGAAACGGTGGCGGGCGTATCGCCGTCTTGAGCGGATGCTAGTCAGCGAGCACAGCTGGTTGCAAGTTGCTGCATTCCGGCTAGCCCCTATAAGTTGTCCATCCCGGACGCTCCTGAACATCTGCACCGAGTTGTCATATCTTATCATTTTTTAATCTCCACCCACAATACCCCCACTAGATTTTTCTGTGCTGCTGAAATCTCCTGCTCCTTTTAATACGCTCCCACCAATATTTAAGGATTCCCTTAAATTGGTTTTCCGTGGTTGCCCTTCTGTGAGATGCTCACCAAATGCGATGCAACAAAACATTTTGTCTGTCTGTGTGCGTGCATGACTAGCGGGTGAAGTAAAAAGTCAATATGGTAGGGCTATGTGAAGTAAAAAGGTCGGAGTGCGTGCTGAGTATCTGTTCTGCGAAATCGGTACCTCCTCGTATTTTCTTGATTAAGAATCAGCGTAATGCTGTTTTTTGGGAGCATATTGGGCATGTGTTCATCGCAGTATCCCTACAGTTGCCGTTATAATCTCCCGCGACATTGGTGCAGAAGGGCAAAGGGGGACAAGAATGGAACCTCGTCTGTAGAAATTGGCCTCAGCGCTGCGTCCTCGTCGGAGAGAAAGTACCGCACCACAAACTGAAAAAACAATCTTACTGCAACGTTGCCGGCATCGACTAAATATACACGGGCCCACCCTCGCTAATATGCTGATGCTCATCCTCCGACGAAATGAATGTTCTTCGCCGCACGCGGTTTGCATGTGTTCAGATCAGTTTTCCGCGACGGAACCTGGCGACCTCGAATCCGGCGCTTCTGGAACGTCTTCCGCGATTTATTCTCCAACAGTTCTGGCATTCCCACGTCTGACGGAAACCATGGGCGGAGAATCAACTAGCGCCTGCGGTCGGCAATCATCGTACATTCGTCATTCGTCATTCGTCGTCGGTCCGATCCGTCGCTGTCCAACGACGTCGTCTCGTTCGTCCGTTCATTCGTTCTCCTGAGTCGGTATTCTCTTGCTCTGGACCATCGTCATGATGCTTTCCTTTCTGCTGACCATGTGAAAAGAATGAACCCTTCTTGTCATTTTTATAAGATTTCTCTGTTTCACCTTCAACTGATATTGTGCAGGTGGTGTTAAAAGAATGCATGTGACCTCAGCTTGTAATCCGAATGTGGAAATAGGGTTTCAATGTTGTGTGTGGATTTTGTCAGAGTTTCTATGTTTGTAGTCAGCTTGTGGGAATAGGATTATGCACATGTGTGTATTCCAGGTTGAGGTGCTTCAGCATGTATGGTTTGAGGTATGATCATTGCTATTTGTTTTGTTGTAAATTCAAAAGTTCTCTCTGTGGTTTTCATTCGAGAATCGTTCTTGATTACGGGTGTGTTTCTTACTTCTAGTCTGTGTGTTGGTCTGTTGACTGTACTAGTGAAGTACAGTAATGTGGCTGTAATTTTATGGTTGTTTGCATTTCAAAACTTTGTGTTTGTTGCAGCACTCTATGACTAAAATTATGCGTCAGTCACAGAGGTAGTTTTTGTTTCAAAGCACTTGAAAATATTGCTTACAAGAAAGGAAAATATCACGTTTGTTTATATATTATGGGATTTAAAATATGAAAGAAAAATACATGAAATCTTTTACTGATATTTGTAGACATCAAAAAGAACATTGGCAGTCACTAAATGGTACTGATTTAACTAGCCTCTTGAAAAGAATCATGGCATATCAAATTTTATTTTGACTGTTTCAAAATCTATCAAATCTTTCTTTAAATATTTTGTTGCTATCAAACTATTGCGATAAATAAATAAATAAATAAATAAATAAATAAATTATATATATATATGCAAGCGGAAGAAACCAATGAATCTCGTCAGGCTGAAACAATTTCAAGTGCCAAATTACACTGAGCATGGTGCACACGCTTCTTAAAATATTCTAGCAACTCTCTGCAATGTCAGAGTTACAAATCACGGTCGAAATCTCAGTTAAAAACATTCTTGAAATCGTCAGGGAACTATTTCAATACAAGCGATGCTTCATTCTTTTAACTCGATAGATGATCTACAGTCAATCAGAAGTGTTCCGATCCAACATCACAATAAATATATGTATACATATATATATATATACATATATATATATCCCTTTTTATTGTGTAATGTTTGAAGAATTCTTTGCCAAATTCTTGACATAACATTAATTATTATTATTATTATTATTATTTATATATATATATATAGATTCTCACATGACTAAAGGTATCACAAGGTACATGCTCTTTAAAAAAACTAATTCTTATATATGTATATATATATATATATATATATATACACTAGTGGTTAAATCTATTGGCTTTGCCAATGTCAAGTATGTTTTTGGCAGCCAATCAAAAAAAAAAAAAAAAAAAAAAAAAAAACATGATATACCTCACCAGCCAATCAATGCCCGTTATTGCATTAATAAAAAAACATACAAACACACACAATATATACCTCGGCAACCAATCAATACACATTACTTTAAGTAAATAATAATAATAAAAAATGTCATCAAATCAGCCATATCAACTAGGTGTGGATCAGGTTTATTTGCATTGCTACTGCCACCGCCAGTCAAGCCTATCACATTCTCTAATCCTTTTGAGGCTGAATTTGGACCATGCAGCTTCTCTTATATTTATTTTTATGTATATATATATATATATATATATATATGTTTTGACCTTAGCAATGAGTGCCCCATACTACTTCAATCAATGGGATTTTTTGATACTACATACGAATATAGGCTGGTAGATTTTTCTCTATATATATATATATATATATATATATCTATATACCAGCAAAAATCCATGTTATTAGGTATTACAATCTTTAGCATTGTTATCCATCCATTCCCTTTTTTATTCATGTGCAGCCAATAAAAAAAACTTCTTAATGTCTTTATTTTATATCTTAATTGTTTCATATAATAGATATAGACATACATATACATAGATGTATATCTACTAAATTGAACGAACTTTATTGCCATAAGTATCCATCAAAGCAATGTTTAAATCAATTGTAAAATAAATTATAAAATATCATTATATATATATATATATATATATATAAATACGCCTTTATTTCTATTATTTATCACAAAACTTAAAAGAGATATTTAGTAGAATATCTTGTCTTGAATGTAATTAATAATGACTATTACATTTTTAGAAATTGAAGAAATAAACATGTTATGATGGTCAATTGTTAAGATTTATAATTTTTTTCTAAGTATAAATATTTTAATAAATAATAAGCTTAGGTGTATATAGCATAAATAATTATATAATATTATGTAGTAATTTTATAAAGAATATAAATAGAATATTTACTAATTTAATAAAGAAAATCATAAAATATTGATTTTTTTACAAAAGTAGATTTGGATGAAAATTACATTTTAAAAATTTAATTGAAATACAAAATAACTTAAAACTTTTGTATTTGGAATAACAATATGAAATATTATAAACTTAGAAAAAGAATAATTCTATTATATGATAAAAATTAATAGAAAAAAACCAAAAAAATAATACAAGCTTTTGATATATGTAAGATAAATAAATATGAAAGGAATTAATGAAAAAAATTAAAAACTAATGCACGAATTATTAATAAAATATATATTAGATTCTTATATATAATTTTTTATATAATATTTAATTATATATATATATATATATTTATATTTTAAGATATTTTGATATTTAAAATTTTATTAAATTTTAATTATTATTCCTACCATTGAATAATTTTTATAATTCTATATACAAGTTTAGATAGATTTTTCTAAAACTTTATTATTTATTTTTTTTATAAAATCATTAAAAGAAAGAAATTTCATAACAAAAAGATAGATATTAAATTTAAAATAGAATGATTACTTTCAAATACAAAAACATTAAGAATTCTTGAATGAAATTAGAATATAAGAAAAACATAGATTAGAGTAATGAAGGCCCTACTTTTGCTTCTATATATACTATATACTAAAAAATTATGTGACAATGTTCTATAGGCCAAATAACACATGTCAAACTTGTGACATATATGTCTAATTTGCAAGGAGGTTTCCAATACAGGAACCACATGGCCAACTTATAATATAAATGAATAAATGTGCTGTACATGGTCAAGTTATAAATCTACTAATCATTTATAAACACATGTAAAGTCTACAAAACTTCTTAGAAGCTTTTGAATAAGATATCAATAATTTTACCTACTTCTATTTATTTCTACTTAGTTATATTTATCTAAGTAAATATACTAATAAATATGGCTATCTATTATCTTAAATCTTTTGTAAGCAATAAATTTTATAATAAGTTTTATCATTGATTTATAAGTTGATGAAATCTAAAATCTATCAAATTTTTTTAGCAACAAATATTAATCTTTGTTTCACTCTAAGATGATTGTTAGGTCTCTTTAACCATTATTACTTTTCCATACTAAGACAAAAAGATGATATAGTTATTTGATTATTGATAAGATATTCATAACTACCTTCAAATAATATATTTGGTATTTTCTTAAGTATAGTATCCACTTATTAATTACATATTTAGTAAATTAATAATTTAGAAAAATAAAACTATTAGTGTGGAATAAATCTTAGGTAATTACTATATTTTTTGTAGTAACAATGTTTGTTTAGTTGGATGAGCACTATGATAAGATGATTTTTTGTCCAAAATAGATGAAAAATCTAATTAAGACAAAGATTGAAATTATATTAGTGGCTAGGATTTGAAGAGTAGTAAAGATTTTTAATCTTCTTCTTCTCAATCATAAAGGTGTTTGTGTTGTTATTATTATTATAAAAAAAGTGATAGGAGAATATAGGAGATTAAAGTGAAGACTTCAAGGAGTATATTAAAGACTTAGGAGGCCAATATATGACCAATGTACATATTTTTTTAATATTTTATGATCAATATTGAGACCCTTGGAATTGAAGGGACAAAATCATATCTTATACATTAGATCTTGTATTATATA